TTCATATGTCCGAATCTGCTAACAATGTGTGCAGCAACCAAATCAAATGTCCCCAATTTTATTTTATTTAGAACGTGGATGATTTCATCCATCCGATCACTTTTAAACCAAACCTCGGTCATTTGAAAAAAAGAGAAAAAAGATCTAGAGATATGGAGGAAGAACTCAAAAACTTCATCAAGGTTTGGGTTTTTGCAATAATCTCCATATCTTATTGTTACTACTTATCAGCCAGAATCAAAGCTGGTGTTTTTCGATTACTCTCTGTTCTTCCTGTTTGTGCTCTGTTTCTTGTCTTTCCTCTGTTTTTCTCATCTGTTCATTTCTCTGGTTCCATAGCTTTTTTCCTCACATGGCTCGCTAATTTCAAACTCATACTCTTCTCATTCGACCAAGGTTCTCTTTTCCCACTTCCCTCAAATCTCGCCCGATTTATCTGCTTCACTTGCTTACCCATCAAGCCTCAACAAAACCCTAACTCTCATAATCAACTGCCCAAATGGATTTTCGCCATTAAAGTTGCTATCTTTGGTGTCTTGTTACAAATTTACGAGTATAAACATGATCTATCTCCGATTGTGCTATTGCTTCTCTATTCTCTTCATATATACTTGGAGCTTGACATTTTCTTAATGCTCGTCAAAGTTTTGGTCTCTATCACTCTTGCGTGCGATCTAGAGCCACAGTCCGATGAACCATACTTAGCCACCTCTCTTCAAGACTTTTGGAGTCGACGATGGAATCTCATGGTTCCGGCGATCCTCCGGCCATCCGTTTACGTCCCCGTACGGCAAATCACCGAGAGGAAAATGAACTCCGATCAAGCTCTGTTCTTGGGAGTTTTCGCTTCCTTCCTCATTTCCGGTGCGGTTCACGAGCTGGTCTTCTTCTATATTACACGTGAGTTGCCTACGGGAGAGGTCACTTGGTTCTTTTTGTTACACGGAGTTTGCATGGCAGTGGAAGTGGCAGTGAAGAAGAGGACGTTTGTGTGGCGGTGGAGGATGAGTCCGATGGTTTCACGACTGCTCACGGTGGGGTTTGTGCTTGTAACGAGTGGTTGGTTGTTTTTCCCTCCTCTTGTAAGGAGTGGCATGATCGAGAGACTCGCTAATGAAGCTTTGTTATTCACTGATGTCGTCAAGCGCAAGTTTTTTACTTTTGGGTATTAAATCTCTAAATCATGACTCATGGATTAAAATAAATTATATTACTTTGTGAAATTATAGAAAAAAAAAAATTATAGAATAACTATAAAGAGAGTTTATGGGATTAAAGGGTTTAATAGATGTTGTAAATCTAAAGAAACCTCTATAGTGATTATCACTAGCCTAAAAAGGCAATACTCGAAAAATTATGAAGAAATCGAAAGACTATAAAATATGAAAAAGAGAGAACATTTTTTTATTAAGAAGATACTTAAAAGACGCTCAGTTTTTATAGAGAATTTATTTATGTTTATGATCATCTGCTTTTATAAATACTAGGATTCGATCTATGCAAAATCGCAGAAGAAAAAGTTGTTATTAAATTTTAAACACAAATTTTTTGAAAAAAATAGTGAAAACATCTTATTATATAAAGAAGGATGCGTTCAACGTGAACATGACACAAGTAAAATTATAACTCACTAGATCGTGAGATGTGACTAATATTGATGAGATAATGACAAGTGTTAACATTGAAATTTAATTAAAAAAAAGAAAGATGAAAACAAACAAAATAATGGTTAAG